GGGACGGGAGTGTTGGGCGGGGGGACAGCCCAGTGAGAAAGTGAGACCTATTTTTTTTTTTTTTTTTTTTGACATTTGGGCCGAACCCCAGTTTGATAAAAGCCAAACAGAAGAGCGTGAGGAAGTGCTTACATTGTGGCTGAAGTGTTAGGCACTGCAAAAAACGAATGAGATTTTTATTCAGTAAGGCAATTTGATCACGGTTGACTGAGAGCTGATATTATAAGATTTCTGTCATTGGAAAAGTTTCAAATATGCACAATTTAGACTCTGGAGAGAAACTAGCAAATAAATAAAATAAATTAAGTTAAATTAAATTTAAGAAGAAAAAAATCCCCCCGAGTTTTTTTTTCTTTTTTTTTTCACAACCCATTTCAAGATTACCTGTGTAAAAACAGCTACAATCAAAAATGAGGCACTTTATAAATGAGTATATAGATATCTAGGCTATAGAGTATTTATCATTATACTGTAGGTATACTGTGTACCTTATATATCACTGTTATGTGTCACTTTATATTAGAATTGTGTTACCTGTTATGCAAATGAGGAACAAAACTACAGTATGTACTATAGCTTCATCATCTACTCATATACTATAGTATATACTATAGAATAATATACAGTAAGTAAGTAAGGGGGAAAGAAAAAAACTACCAGCTACCAAAAAGAAATTGGAAAATACTTGCTCCACGGTGCTTCAAAACTGCAATACTGAGAGAATATTTCAGGCACAAACTCCTTCAACCTTCACCCGTGCTGATCATTTTGATACTAAATGGACTGTTGTGTCCCAAAAAAAAATAAAAAAACAGTTGTATAATATATATCGTCCAGAGCATTGACTCACTACACGAAAATAAAACTAAAGTAGATGTGAAAATAAAAATATAAATACAACTTTTTACTGTGAATCTGATGGATTTAAAATGCAGTAACAGTGTGGTGGAACCCAGTGCTGCGTGAACACGGTGCTGAGTGACTGCACATCAGCAGCTGCAGGGACCAAAAGTGCAGACTTACAGCATAAGAGTCATGAGAAGGATGAAAATAAAGCTCTCCTCCATCTCTCAGCTGCAGCTGAGGTGGCAGAGTGTAAATGTAATCACATTACGCACTATTAAGTCAAGCTCACACTCCTGTGGATTTTGCAACTACTGCATATGCTTCCTGGGATTTTTAAGCCGTTTTCTTCTTCACCGTAAAAAAATTAGCAGAAAATGAATTCTACGATCGAACGTCGTTCGAGGAGCCGCAGCTCAGAAATTACAGAGGCCAATTGATCGACGTTCAAGGAGCCGCAGCTCAGAAATTACAGAGGACTTTGAAGCACCGTCTGGAGCAAATAAATAAATAAATAAATAAAAACAAGGCTTTTTTTTGGCATCTGTATAGAACAACTCAAATATGTATGTGCATGAATGAAACCTCAGCTAAGGCTGTACGTCTTTTCTCCTGTAGATTTAAGTGATAGTCTGCGTCACCTAAATACAGGATTCAACTTGGATCATAGACAAAGGATGACATGATGACGTGGGTGCTAATAAAAGAGGCAAAATCCACCAGAATGCAACAGTATCGCGTCACTTCCTGTTGTGTTTCCTTTAGCCTCCAGCTATAAACAACACTGGACATTTACCAGCTTGGCTTAAATTATCAAAGTATAACTAAAATAAAATAAAAAAAAATAAATAAAAAAAAGACGAACCAACATAGCCGTATTTACAACCAGGTTCGCCTAGCCTAGCCTAGCCGTTAGCTTAGCATTATAGTTCTCTTCTGCTTTTGTTTTGTTTTTTGTTGTTGCACTTCAGTTAATAAATTAATAAATAAGTTACATGTGACAAGTGTTTTTGTGACTGTGAGGCAATGGTTTTGTTACTTTAATTTATTTTATAGTCTCTAAAATAATAATAATAAAAAATAATCAATAGGCTAATCTGTTGTAGCACCAGTTAGCTTGGTTAGTGCTAGCAGCAACTGTGACCACATGAAGGATTTACTTTTCAAAATACCCATATGAGTGTGATAATACTGTGTATAAATGATTTCTGGCACATTTACATGAAGATATTTAAAAAGTAATCATTTAGACAGAGAAGTGCAGAAACGTTACCTGTGTCTGGAGCTGTTGCTCTGCTAGACCAGTGTTGTTGGTCTTCTCTTCTTACTTATTTCACCTAATGAGTCTTAGGTTCCATATATGGAGTAAAAAAAAGAGTAACATTAGGCAGGACATCAGGTCAATCTCTGACTTTTTACCATCATAACCGAGAAGTTACTGTCATGCCATGGATACTACCCCGGGACAGTACTTAACCTGTACCTGCAGTTTTTTGATATCATCACACCCTTAGTAGTCTGTAAAAAAATAAAAAGTAATTGAAAGTGTGTTAATATGCACAAGTACATTTGGAATTAAAATATATTCATAAAATGCATGTTTGAAATGCACCAATGGGTATTTCTGCTGTGTGTGTGTGTGTGTGTATTTCCTGAAAGCCTTGTGACCTTTGCTGAATGATTGTTAGGAAGCCGTGATCAGACTTTGACAGGACGAGGTGAGGCTACAGTGATCTGAGGTCGATCACTGTCGCAGATTTCACTGTCATCCTTTATCTATTTCAAGTTAAATTATATATATATTTTTTACATTTAAAACAAGGCAGAACCATGATGTTTGAAGTGGAGTGCGTGTGATTGGTTGACAGAAAACAACAAATCAAACAAGATGAGGAAGTATCTGTATCCGGCGTCCAGCAGGGTGGCGCTGTAGCACCGGGTTCATCACGCTCAGAAACCAGGACGGATCAACAATCTGGAAGGAGAATAGAAAAAAAAACGAAACAATTAGTCAAAGTAAAAGTAACGATCGATTCACAGACGAGTGAAAATGTGGGGCAGTTACAACAACATCTCCAGTGTTGACGTTTTATCTACTGCCCCTGTTGGACACAGGGGTAAACAGGACATGACTGGTGACTCAATACTCAGTTACAAAACCTGACTGCAGACGTCAACATTCACTGTCTTGTCAACAAGCTGCCATCAGCAGAACTGCAGATAAGACATGGTGTGTCACATGGTGTGTCACATGGTGTAATATTTAAGAGCAAGACGTACAATAAAAGCTAAGGTTATCAATGTCCTCTGAGCTAAGACACAAGATTTGATGATCAACGTTTACCTACAAGTGTCATTCTGAGTGCAGTACCAGCGGTGGCCTGTAGTGTTTGCAGACATCCCTGAATAAACATTTTATATTTAATGAGAATTTATAGTCACAACGTGTTTTCTCAAAGGTCACCAGGGATGACCTGTGGTAAGATAAAACATATATACAACATAAATACATCATGGCAGTCATCATGGCAGTCTGGGAAAATAAATAAAAAAAAATAATATCAATGAATTAATAATTAAATCAAAGTTTAAGTAAGATAAAACAATACATCATGACAGTCTGGGAAAATAAATACATTTTTTTAATATTAATGAATTAATAATTAAATCAAAGTTTAATTTATTAATATATTTAATGACAAGTTTTCATCCACTGAACGACGTCGCGCAGGTCCCACAGTGGACGACTGTAGAGTCGGAGTGCATTGATTTACGGCGCGTAGAGACACGTGTCACTGTCCATTGTCCTCTGATAAACTGCACACATTAGTGTAAGTGGATCAAGCTGAGGTTCTTAACCGTTTACAAACAGCCGGTGCATTATTGAATCACATTTTACCGCTGCGACTGTAAAACCCGATTAAATCGGCGTCAGAAACGTCAGCCGACCGAAGAATCCGTCACGTTTACGTCGGTCAGGTGGTCTGTGGTACTGTCACAGGACTGAAGTCTAGAGTCTAGAGTCTGTAAAGACACGACTGAAGACGTCTTCATACTTGGGCCTGCAGCCCGCCGCCCGCCCACTCATGACCAGCGACACCTGGCTCATATCCTGTCCCCTCTACCTCCATTGATGTGAAATGGCTCATTACCAGCAGACAAATCGTTTGGCCGCGCTCTCTGAACACCCACTTGTAGATAATAAGAGGCTCCACAGACACAGACGTGCCAGAGGCTGATGGAACTCAGAGCTGCCCACCAGCTGGAGGCAGCGGTGCTCGTCAGTCCACGATGAAAAGGGGGAAGGAGTGACTAAGAGCCAGACATGAGAGTGGGTTTGGGTTGTTTTTCTTTTTTGTTTTTTTTTCTGCGCCGAATATTGAAAGTCACATTAAATTCTGTCCTGACATTATTAGACATTCTAATGTTTCTGATCTAACATTAAAACTATTTAATAAATCCTTAAATGTCACTGAAATAATTTCATCATGATGGACAATGACCTGATCGCCTGGAAAGACGGTACACAATATTCAAATACTAATATAGTAATTTGATACTTGTTATGTAGTAATTTAAGACTATAACAATTTAATGTTTAAAATCTAAAATACACTTTAAAAATCACTGATATTTTATGCATGACCCAATTATAAAATGTTCATTTTTATCAACAGTAAGTTATAGAATAGAATACTTTATATTTATTTTCTTTACCTTGTCCGTCCTTTCTGCCGCTCTGTGCTCTCAGTTCTTCTGACTTGTAGAAATCAATACTGGCGTAAGTGTTGAGGCTGGAGCTGGAGCTGGAGCTGGGGCCGCCTCCCACAGCGCTTCCTCCGACAGTGTAGGCGGCCGCGGTGCGCTCCACTCCAGCTTGAGGGCCCTCCTTAATGGCCAAGTCAAGGTCAATGTAGTTAAGNNGTAGTTAAGTCCTGGTGCAGCAGCAGAGGAGGCGGAGGCGGAGGTGGAGGAGGAGGAGGAGGAGGAGGAGGCATGTGGTGGAGGTGTAGCGGACAGAGCAGCGGCCTGACCGCTGTCCCACAGCGAGCAGTCCAAGCCGTGCCGGTGGCTCTCTGCCTGACTGCCCTCTGTGAAGAGGGAGGTAGAAGAGGGTGGGTGGCGTGGGTGAGAGGGGGAGTTAAACGTCTCAGAGCGGTGGCTCCGTCGTCCCTGCGGGTCGCCGCGCACCAGCCTGCTGCTCCTCTCAGGAGACTGGAAAGACTTGACCGGGGAGAAAGTCAGAGCGGTCTGCTGATCCACAGACGAGGGCTGACCAGGGTGCAGGGCAGACCTGGACGAGATGCTGGGATCGGAGCCGCTGTTGTCGTCTGTGAACGGGCTCTGGGAGTCGGCGGCCATTTTTACTTTCGTTCTGTACCCGCTGGTTCCCTCTGCTGCCAGGGGGGAGGATGTGCCGTGTTCACGTTGGGCCTTGGGGACGACGGCTGGTGGGCCCTGTGATGTGCTGTGTGTGGACCTGGCGGGGGACTGCGGGGTGAGGGACTTTCCTAAATCCATGCTGACGTATTCGGCGGACGTGGACAGCGGCACAGACAAGCTCCGGGGAAGGTTGTTAGGGTTACTGTGGCGGAGAAGTTGTTGATTCAGAGGCCGCAGGGTTCCGTGGATCACCGGCGGTCCACGTTCTGACTCAGCACTTTGTCCTCCGTCGGTTTCCTTGAATACAATACTGACATACTCACCAACGTTCTGAGAGGAGGACGGCGGGACGTTCTCCTTCACCCGGGGCAGCGTGTTGGCTTTGGTGACGTCTGACGTCAGGCTGAGAGGACGAGCCTTCCTCTGCTGCTTCGGGCTCTTACTGCACGACCCTCGTTTCTGATGGTGACGTCCATCTTTCGTGCACGTTCCGGCGCTCCTGCACTCTGCGCCGGTTCTCAACAAACTCAGGCCTCGACCTGCCGATATGGATTTGTCCTCCAGGCTTTCACTGCTGGCCGAGCTGGAGGAGAAGGAGGAGGAAGACATGGAGAGCTGACAGCCCCCCGCCGAGCCCACCGCTATTTTGTTTCTCTTGCTGTAGGCCACGCCCCCTCCCCGGCCGACACCGTCATGCCCGGCGCCGTCCTTTTTTCCTCCTTCCCCTTTGTTCAGGTCTTCCTCGAAGCGGCTGTAGAGCGTGTGCTGATAGGCTCGTGGAAGGGAGAAGTAGGAGTTGAACATTTTGGGCTGCAGCTGATGCTGCTCGGGGTGAGACGGGGGAGTGCTGCAGGCGGAGCGGCTGCTGACGGGGGAGATGTTCATGTAGTCGCTCGCGGCCCGGCCCTCAATACTGGCCCTGCTGTCCCACATGTCCAGGCCGTGCAGGTCTGTGGAGCTGCTGCTGTTGGGGGACATCACCATGTAGCCCTCGGCGCTGGGCTGACGCATGTGCTGCGGGGGGGACACGCTGTTGTTGGGGGTCATGGCCATGTACTCGTCGTCTGCCCCAGGTTTGGCCCCGGCCTCAGACATCTCTATTGACAGGGGGAGCGAGACAGGGGGCGACGTCACGCCGGGCAGCATGGACATGTAGCCGCTGTCCACGGCTGCTCCTGCAGACACGCCCTCCCTGCGTTTTTCCGTCCTCTTCCCAGGTCCTCTGTTTGCGCTCTGTGACATGACGGCGTATTCTTCGTCATCTTCATCTTCCTCATCCTTCCTGTGAGGAATTCGTCGCTCGTGAGCTGCCAAAGGCAGCGACGCCCTCTTGCTGAGCAGTCGGCGTTCCGCTTCACATTCCCGACTGGACGACCGCCGCAGAATCCTCCTGCCCTTGGAGCGGTGGTGAGAGCCGAGGAGACCCTCCCGCTGTCCCATCACTATGTAGCTGGAGGAGGCTTCTCCGTGGACGTGATGTCCAGACTGACTGGGAACGAGCAGGGAGTGTTCTCCTGGACTGGAACCGTACTCGTCTGACGAGCCGTAATCGCTGGGTGAACCTGAAACAGAAACTCTCTGAGAAACACGAGGGTAGGAGCAAATGGTCATTCCCCCCACCGCTGCCCCCACCAGGCCACACTCTGAGCCGTGACCAGAGCTGGAGGACAGACTCGGGGCAGGGGAGGGAGCAGGGTTGGGCGTGTAGCGTGCGAGGCTGAGGGTAATCTTGGCGGGGGTGGGGGCTCTGGTGGGTTTGGGCCTCAGCGTGGGTGTAGTGGAGCAGGATCCGTTTAGACTTGGGCTGGAACTGGCCCACGTCCCTCTGGCGCTCGATCCACCCTCCTCGGAGCGCGCCCCGATGCTGGCCGTCCGCGCCCTGGGAAACCCGTGACGTGACGTAGGCGAGGTGCTGGTGCTGCTCCCCGGGGTCTCTGTGCGAGCCCGTCTGGTGAAGCCCACCTGGCTGGGCGGCAGATTCGGATGATGGCGACGACTCGGGACGCTGATGGGGTTTGAAGGAGTTCCGCACGACGTCCCCACGGACTGAGACTTACTGCGCTGGCGGAACTCCTCGCTCAGAGCCTTCATGGCCTCCAGCAGCGTCTCGTGCATGTTCTGGGCCACCACCGAGTCGTCCACCTGCATCCAGAACTCGCCGGGGCCGGTGATGGCTGACCGGCCCACCTCGATGAAGAAAAAGTTCTCAGAATGACCACACCGACGGACGTTCATGAGCTGCAGCACCACGGCGGCCACATCAGAGTTGAGTTTGACGAAGTTGACAGTTTTATCTGTGAGGCACAGCCGGTAGATGCCCACCAGGTTCCGGGCGTGTCCGAGACCTTTGGGCCAGACTTTGACCTGCCAGACTTCCTTAAACGTTGGAATGGGAGACGGAGAACTGCACTCTCCGCTGCTGCCGTAGTCTTCTGGAGTTTTGCCTGGAACAAAAGGAAAAGGACAAAAAAAAAACACCAGTTAAAGCCCAGGATGAAACCCTGTGTTTTCAAAACTTTATAACGTCTAAACCCTAACAGGAAGTCGAAGCAGCACTCGTTTGACTCCAGAACGCCCCGGCGGGGCAGGTGGAAGTCATTAGTAACACTTTGTTTCCATATCATCACTAACTAGCTGAGCACAGTGACGGCTGCTGCTCCTGCCAGGCCGCCGTGCTGCAGCTAATTCATCACCATCATGTTCAATCCACAGCTCTATAATTAATTAAGTCTTCTGAGGTTGGGGATAAATGTAGAAGCACATCATTGACTGTGCAACAACCAAACGCCTTTCAGTTCGTTAAAAATCAAACGACAAAACGATGACAGAATTACACTGAGATTTGATTCCGGCCACGTTGTCGACGAGGTGGAAAAACAAAATATGAATATTTCATTCATTGACTTCTACAACGATCGTTATGTTTCACGTCATTACGATTGATCTCCATTTGTTCACTGTACTGTAAGGAGTCGACTTGGTCGATCTGCAAAAACAAACACAATAAAACACGGCCGTCTGAACCAACCACTGACATGAGCCCATTTATGGGGCGGAAACCGCAGCAGTGGGCGACAGCAGCACAGTGTTGATGAACAGGTTAAAAAAAAGACTCAACTGAGATAAAAAAAAAAAAATCAATAACTTTATTGCTGTCTGCCGTCTTTGCACTTTGTTTCCCACAGCTGTCAGAGAGCCATTAACCTGAGTGGAGTCAATTCTGAGCAATATTTATGGTTAAGTGCAACAAAGTAAAAGACACGTCGGCTGTTTATGTCTTCAACGGCCGACGGACAGCTGGACCATAAACAAATGTATAAATAAACAATAATCATTGTTGTTATTACTGTTAATATTAACTTAAACGCAATATGTATTTTTTATTTATATTTCAGCTTTTCTTTCAGACGTTGGTGTTTGTTTAATCACAAAATTTTAAAGCTATTGAACAGAAATTTGGCCAATTTGAAAATCAGATGTCAATTATATACAAGGTATTTAATGTACATTATACAATATATATAGTTTACATATATATATACACTATATATAGTATAATTTACATTAAATACTATATATAGTTTACATATAGATATACTATACTGTATATAGTATAATTTACATTAAATGCATTGTTATAGTGTAACATCTGATCAGTTTTATATATATATTTATATATTCATATATAGTTGCCTTGCACTGCAGACTCTAACGTGCATTTATCCCAAAATAACCCCGTGTTTGGAGCAGAGCAGGCCCTTCATTCTCCACTAATATAAAAAATAAAATAAAATAAATGAAATAATCCAGGCCTCAAACGCAGAGAGGTTCAAATCACGTAAACACGAGGATACCCAACAGACAGTGGTGTTGATGATGAGGAGGATGAGGAGGATGATGATGATGATGATGGTGGTGATGATGGTGGTGATGATGATGATAAGAAAAACTCCTCCCCATCAGCAGCGCCGCGTAAAGAGAATGTAGGTTAGTCAGGGCTGTGCAGAAAAACAACAAAAACACGGGCTCCAGCAGAGGAGCTCCGCGATAGGCTGCTACTATATGATGCATCCCAGGGATGGTTGCTATATGCCCACTGCGCCAGGCAAAAAAAAAAAAAAAAAAGAAAAAAAAATACCCCACCGTCTGTCAGCCGGGGCTGCATGGAGGGAGTGTGATGCAAATATTTCACCGTGCACATCATCGTTGCTTCAGCAAATGAACTGAAATGCATTTTACAGAGCAGTAAATATTAAGGCT